AGCTAAAACAACCCTGTACAATAAATGAACTTCTAGGATTATCACCATTTATGCATACAAGCTATACTATATAGAGACAGTATTTCAAAGCACATAGTATGGGATAAAATTAGACAAGTTGATCAATGAAATAGAAAAAAAGTCACAGAATTAAACCCCCACATGTATAAACACTTGATTTTTCAAAACCATGCAGTGTAATAATTAAAATAGAAACCATCTTCCACAAATAGTCTAACAAGATGTCTGTAGGTAAGTTTGTTCAAAAACTCTTATCTAACATCCTGTACAAAAGTTAAGTCTAAGTGGATCAATATGTGGATAAAAATTAATAGAAGAAATGTGGAACATTTCTTGTTCAAAGAAGCTTTGAACACAGTTTTACATTAGACAACTTTCCAAACTGAACAACAATGACTTAGACACTAAGGTCATTAATAATTGGGACTCATGGAATGGAAAACCTTTTGCAAAACTAAGGACACCATCAGTAGGAGAGAATGGCAGCCTAAAGAATGGGAAAAGATCTACACCAACACTATCTCAGACAGAGGACTAATATGCAAAATATATAAAGAACTCAAGGACATAGAAATTGACAAATCAAATGATCCAATTTAAAAATGGGATACAAAGCTAAACAGAAAATTGTAAACAGAGGAATCTCTATGAGCTAGAAGCACTTAAAGAAATGTTCAACAATTATAATCAACACAAAATGCAGATCAATATGAATATGAGATTCCATCTTACACACTTCAAACTGGGTATGGTCAAAAATTCAAGGGACAGCACATACTGGTGAGTATGTGAAACAAAGGGAACACATCTTCATTGATGAGAGGAGTCCAAACTTGCACAACCACTTTGGAAATCAATTTTTCAATTTCTAGGAAAATTAAAAATGTATTTAACTCGATACCCAGCTATACAATTCCTGGGCATATACCTAAAATACTCCCCACAATACAACAGGGACACATGCTCAAACTATTTTCATAGCAGCTTTATTCATTATAGCCAGCAACTAAAAACAACATAGATGTTTCTAGACTGAAAAATGGACAGAGAAAATATAGTACATTCACACAATGGAATAATATTCTACTATTAAAAACAAAGACATACTTAATTTTGTATGCAAATGTAAGGCACTTGAGAATATTATCTTGAGTCTGTTAATGCAGACACAAAAGTAACTGGACATTAAAATTGGACACTAGTCATAAAGTACAGGATAACCTTCATATAATCTACGATCCAACAAAACTGAGTAATAAGGAGGAAACAAATGAGGATGTGTAAATTTCACTCAGACTGGTAAACAAAACAGTCTTCAGAGGTTCATGGAGAGACGTAATTGGTTGAGAAAGGTGGTGGGAAGTGGCATGGGAATGGCAATCAGGTGTGGGATGGGAGATCCAAGAGAGTCCTGGGGGTGAGAAATGAAATAAGTGGGGAACAACTCCTCCTTCTATCAGGATACCTCGGACAAGGGAGTCTCTTGAGAGTCTATGTGAGTCACCCTAGCTCAGAACTCTAGCAGTTCAGGTTATGGAGACTGACTTAGTCATCTCCTGTAGCGAGGTGGGACTTCCAGTGGAGGGAAGGGAACATCAACCAACCAAAAAAACTTTGATCCCTCAAAATATACTGCATTCAAGATGCATAGGTATATCAATGAAACAAAGATTAAGGTAATGTCCAACGAATGATTTGACCAACTTGAGATCAATGCTATTGGAGGAGAGCCCACCCCTGACAGTAGTAAAGATATTCTACTATGCTTGCAGACAGGAGCATACCATAACTGTCTCCTTTAAAACTTCATCCAGTAGCTGATGAAAACAGATGCAAAGACCTGTAGCAGGATATATATCTGCTACATTGTATTTGTAGTAGAGCTCAGTGATTGGGCAATAGAAAAGGAGGAGGATCTGGGAGAAGGAAAGAGGAAGGGAGGAGAAAAATGGGGAGGGAGAGGAAGCAACTTGGAGGAAGAACTCTAGTAGTCCCAGGTAACAATTTGTATCAAAAAGTTGGATATGGTAATAATTCTAATTGGTTAGGCACCTTGTGTATTGAGCATTTCTAAATATATAAATCCTTTGGATAATCTTTAAGCATTGAGATTCTTCATTCGGACTCATTCATGTAGTGGTCTATACACGAATCCGATATTGGAAATAACAATATTCATTTATAAGGCTGGTTCTGGAATTTTCTGAGACATATTTGGAAGTTAGCTGAAGTTCTCTATGATGTTAAGTTAGCAAAAGATATAGTTGTGACAAGATCTGAATTTCAAACAAGTATTAGTACATGTGTTAAGGCTCTTTCATTTTTCAAGTTAAAAATACTTTTGTTTCTTCTACAGCATTTAATGTAACTTGAATTGATTGTACACTTTCTAATTGTTGTAGTGTGTTGGAATCCAGCATGTCAGTTATGGAGGTGTATCAACAGCTTTTGTTTTATTGCCCTGAGTATCACAGAACCTTGGACCTCTGAAAAAAGCTTGCAAGTACTGGTAAAAGTGAGTCAGGCTTTAAGCAGAAGGAAGAAGGTAGTGGGCTTGACTATTGCTGGTATAGCAACTTCAATTACATTAATTGCTAGCATCACTGCTTCTGCAATTACTTTGACACAAGAAGTTAAGACAGCTACATTTGTTAATCATTTAGCAGAAAATGTTACTAATGTGTTGAATATACAAGGGGATTTAGGTAGTCATTTGGAAAAATGGATTGATGTTCTATATCATATTCAAATAATTGGAAGGAGGTTCAGAGTTTAAGAGTAAGGAGATATCTCAAGTGTCATACCACATACCATTGAATTCAAGATAATTCTAAAATGTACAGTTGTAGTCATTGTAATTAGGAAAAAGTTTAAAGATACTTACAGTGTATTTGGCATAATTCTAACACCTCTCTGGATGTTTTAATTTTGCATAGTGAGCTTATGAATTTAAAGAATGTTGCTCTCCTGAGCATTGATGCAGTAGATACTGCTGATAAAATTACCTATGGCCTGAGGTCAGTATTTCTATTTTGGTCAAGCTTCAAGAATGACATATATTGCTTGATCATGTTAGCCCTTTTTGTCCTTGGAATACTCTTATTCCTACCTATTGTGTAAAGCATGTCTTCAACAACATCAGCATGTTGGCAGCCAAAGTACATGGCTTGAACCTGAAAATGGACCCCCAGACAGAGTTATTAAATTGAGACACTGGGAAGCTAAGGACAGGCATGATCCTGCACTGAGAATTAACAACCTACACCAGAAGTGCATTGCTTTTGATAATGCATATTCCATGATGGGTAATGAAGGCATTCTTGTCATAATGACCTAAGATAGGCTCAGTCTCGTTTATGAAATTAAAAAGGGGGAGAGTTGAAAAGGTTTTGGGGCTGCTTGGCAAGAATCTGACATGGGCCAAAGACAAGGAAATGGGCTGCTCAGCAGGAATTGGCCAAGGACCAGGAAGTGGGCTTCAGGCAGGAATATGACATTAGGCTAGAACGAAGAAGTAATTACAGGCAGGAAATATATTGCCTTATTTGTTCTTTGACTATTTGTGTTTATTACTTGTTCCTTGACTGTTTTCATCTATTAAGTTGGTAGTTCCTCAACCTAGAACTGACCTTAATACTTGCATGTAATTAGAATGGTATAAAGGCAAAAGGAGGAGGGGCAATGAGATAGTTTTATTGGTAGGGGAAATGTAAATAAATAAAATATCCAAAATAAAAAAGAGTCTTTATTCCATCAGATCCAGCAAACATGGCTGTTATTGTCTGGGGCTTAGCAGAGAACCATGAGGGTGACAGGGTTGTCCTAAGATCCGTGCTTTGGGGCATGGTCACTATGGAGCTGACTAGCAGAGACAGCCTCCATAATAATGTCTCATGGGTGCCAGGGTCAGTGTTTCCAGGTAGCCAGAGCCATGGTAGCTGTCCGGGAACAAACTCGACACAGTGATAATTTTTAAGCATGTTGTGCTTCAGAGACCCACAACCAAACATCAGGCAGAGCTTGAGGAGTCTTGTGGATGAGTGGGAAGACTGAGTGAGCCAAAGGGATCAAGGGCATTACAAGACCTACAAAGTCAACTAACTTGTGCTATGGGGGTCTATAGAAATTGCCCCATGAACCAAAGAGTATGCAGGGGCTAAACCTATGTACCCTGCACATTTATAGCAAATATGCAGCTTGGTTTTCAAGTGAGCATCCAAACAATTGGAGCCAGAATGACATATAATCATTGCTTCACCAGAATATCATGGCAGACATCCCAAGGGATTGTCAATCTTAATGTTCCTATGGTTTTAATATGCATATAATATGAAGTGTGTAGGTTTTTATAAATACCATAGAGCAAAAAAGTACTTGCTAAACACAGAGAAATGAAAATGTGTAGAATGTATCTATGATAATGCTATGGCAGAGCAAACTTATAGTTTGACCTATGGCACATCATGTAGAGATCATCACTGATATTTGTGTTCTAAAGAATTTTACTTTTTAAAAATCAAGGTTTTGGAAATCTCACACATGGATCTGCTTTCACTATTAACACTGCTTTTTAAGGACAATCTGAATGTCATGAAGAATTAAAAATTTTATAATTCTAATTATGATAATGGATCAGTTAATGAGTTTAATTCTTTCATTATGCTAACTTGACATTCATTACTTTCCTATGAAATAAATATGACTTTATTAAAGAAAACTTTAATGTTATTTGCTACATGAAGATCTATTATTTCTGACATATTTGATTGGGACAACCTAACTATTGATATATATTCTATTCAATGAACAAAATATGAATAGACATTTTACATTTAAGCATTTCTGAAGAGAATGCTTTTATTGTTTTTAAAAGGGACACATAACACAAACACATGCATTTGAAATGTATATAATTAAAAGCAAAAGCTCAGCAATGGCTGTTGTGGAGCAGCTCCAAAGGAGACATTACAAATGTTCACTTAGCAATCTTCTGAAGTTATGCGGCACTTCAATAATCTGAGATGAAATAGAGTGAACTGTGTGTCATACTCTAGGCAGTCGGAAAGGTTAAACATTGCCAAAAATTTATAATTTTTGTTACTTGATTTTAAGAATGAAAGATGTTCCCAGCTGGAAAATTCTTCCTTTGTCTTTGCTTTAGGATAGACCTAAAAATCAAAATTATAATCAGTTAATTGTTGATTGTTAGTGTTCCTTTTTCCTTATTTCTTCTGTGTACAATTAGAGAAATACATTCAGAAAAGGACCGCTTCCATCAATGTTATGAGTTCTCATTTTTCTAAGCCAGGAGCTTGTGATGCAGTTACAATTTTAGCATCTGGGGTGAAGACTCATGTACATTTCTACTAACATGTACTCAACTGCTGAGGAAGTATGCCCTTTCAGAAAGCATACAAAAGCAGAGGAAATGTAAGAAATTTCTGTTGTATTCTGGCCGAATGGAAGAGCTCATATCACTTTCTCATTCAGAAAATTTAAACATATCCTTTCGCATTTATTTCACAGAAGCTTACTTATACCACTATTCTACTAAATCCAACCTCTATGAAGTCTATGTAAAAAATTTCACAAGTGATGTGGATCAGATGGTGATTTAATATGCAAACACTAGAAATGACTAGGATTGGAGAACCAGAGCTCTTTTACTCCAACCACAAATTATAACTGCCTAAGAGAAACCACTGTGTTTTGTGCTGATCTGAGAGTAGAAAGAGATGAGAAGCATCTGAAATGGTTGGAGATGCTAACAACTTATTAAAGCAGTGGTTCTCAATCTTTCTGATGCTGTGAGCCTTTAATATAGTTGCTCAGGTTGTGGTGACCCCCAACCATAAAATTATTTTTGTTCTTATATAATAACACTAATTTTGCTAATTTAAGTAATTATAATGTAAATAGCTGATATGCAGTATATCTGTTATAGGACCCCTGTAAATTGGGTCATTTGACCACCAATGGAGTAGTGACCCACAGGTTGAGAAACACTGTCTTATAGAAAGATTCTGAACAATATAAGATATCTGTGTTTCACTCTGGAAAGGTAAGGTATTTAAAAAATGTTTTTGTTGTTGTTAATTTCCACAATCCACCTATTTTATGAATCAGAATAAGTAATAGGAAGTGCTCACCCTGGTGAGTATCCACCTAAGGTCATCCAGGATTTGTCTGTTTTTCTCTTCGATCTCCTTGGCTTTTGAGAGGATAGTTTCAGGGACATCTTTCATGGCACTCAGTTCAATCACTAGATGGTACAGAGGGCCAACCCAGGAACCCACAAAATTTATCAAAGTTTTTAAATAATCTTCAATCTGTGAAACACAATTGAACAATTGCATTAAATAATTTTAGTTCAGCAGGTTTGATACCTGTAATGTTAATATAAATAAGCTGAACTGAGTCATGTGTTTCCTATGTGTATAAGACATATGCATATGTTAAATAGTTTGGAAGTATAACACTTAAACAACTGCTGTATTTTCTAAAAAAAATAAAACAAACTACAGTTCTTAGCAATTAGAATTTTTCTAAGGTTAGGTTATCATACTTTGTTCTCCCATGCAATTCTACCAGCTTCCTTTTCAGTGAGCTCTTTATTAATTAGTTAACTGTTTATCAATTTATATAATGGTTTTTGCAAGTACTCAATAGGGACCAACAATGTTTAACTTTCGCAGAAGAGCAGTAGTATATAGTTATAATCATTTTAAATAAGGGATTCATGTATACCATGTGTAGGGGAAGAATTATCACAACCTAAAATAGAACTACTATCATATGTAGACCTCCTCATGAATTTGGGCATTGTTGCACTCTAGGGAACATAAACTCTTATTTCACAGTACTACTCTGCTATCAAGTTTTCAGTTAAGGCATCGATAATTATAGAGTGATGAAGAGATGAGTAAAAAAAAGAAAGAAATAGAACCAGGGCAGATTTAAAAATCAAGAAGGGAGATAGTGTTCAGTCACAAAGAATGCTATCATGCAGAACTCCTTAGTAACATATAACAACAGCCACATTGTTATTGCTCATGGAGGAGCAAGTATATATCCATGGATAGTCAATGTAACTCAAATAATAGTAAAAAAAAAATGGTAAGTAAAATTTGACTAGTTGGTCATTCCTAAAATATCATTCTCTAAATGGTGTATTTAAGGATTTGCTACATTGTCTTTGGGTATTTCATTTTATTTATAATGTATCAATATTATAATGTCATTATTTTGTATACTTTATCTTCATTTTTTCTGCATGCATGGATATTGTATTTATTATAATATCTGCAATAACTGACAGTACTACAAAACCAATGTGTTGCTTCTAAATTTCTGTGGAAAGTCCAGGAAGGAAACTCACTTCAATAGTTATATATTGAATTCCCTTGTTTGGGGGGTTGGTGAGAGTAGAATGGCAGTAAGTTCCAGCTCTGAAAGCAACCTCATCCTTCCTCATCAGTTGTAAAGACTGAAAATAAAACAGAAAACAGAGTTCAGAAATCATAAACAATTTCATGACCAGAATATTAATGCATTTAGTGGATCTGTAGTCATAAAATACAGATACTAAGAAATTAAAAAACTGTCATGTAGTTTTGTCTCTGTACATTATACCTCCAATTTATTTTGGTTTTTCATTAACTTTTAAATATTTAACTCCTTCCTCTCTTACGTGAATTTCTTCTTCATTTTCAAAAGTTAATCTAAGGAAGGCAGACACTTAAAAGATTAAATTGATGAAGAATTAAGTGATTTAATTATCAAAATTGCTTAGCATTTCAGCATAAAGCCATAGCACATAATCATTAATCTTTCTCTTTTCTGTTAATAATATGTACCGATATTTCCTTACTCAGAAAACAAAAGTTATAAATTTATTAATTTAGCACTAAAAATAAAGTTGGGCATGTTAATGATAATTTTAGAATGAAATTGTATGCAATTTGACTCACAAAATGAACTATTTTACAGTAAATTCTATGTAAACTCAGTCAACAAAATATAAAAAATATTAATAAATATTAATTAGTTTAGCATATCTTATTTATTTCAAATAAACATCTATTTCATGAAAGCCTTATGAATAATTGTGAAGGTTAGGAAGTTGGAAAGCTGTCAATTAAGAACAGGAAATACAATTACTGTATAATGCTTTCTCTTCTAAAACACAATCATTGACATGAGGAGCTTAGTGTGAAAGAGCTAGAAAAAAGTAAGATACTCTCCATCATGCCTTGTTCACTTTTATCTCTCTAAAGCTGAAAGCTCATGGAAAATCTGCTGATGTCTGCCTCTGGCACCACCAAGACCAACAAAAACTTTGCCACAGATACGGGGAAGAACCCTCTTACCCTTAAAGGGAATGGCTCCCTTACAGGGCCGAGGATTGATATGCCTGATTGATACCACAGAAGTCACAGCTAACCGGCTACCAAAAAGATTAATGAAATAAATAGATACCCCCACAAAACCAGGTCCAACCATAGATAAGATGAATAACAATTTACATCCAGGGAAGAGAAATCTCCCTGAGAATTCCGTTCTTTTTCCTTTCCAGGTAAAAATGAATCACCCATGATGTCTGCTGTTAGAAGTTCTAATCCAGAAGCTGGCCTCCGAAATTATACTACTCAGACCTTTGAAGGGCCACTGACAAGAACACAAAACAGCTAGAGACTGACATCACTAATCTGAAGAAATCCCTCGTTTCACTGTCTGAAGAGATCTCCTAAAATCGCAAAGATCCTTATGGAACTCGAATTACTCTATCACAATAGAAAAGGCTGTGTACATCTCTTGATTGTGTACAACCCTTAAAGAAGAAGGTTGCCTTTGCATAGACAAGACATGGAGGGTTAAAGAGAGCATGAAATATGTCAGTGAAGGCCCTGAGAAAAATCAGAGAAAGAAAGAGACAGATGAATGCTGGTACAAACATTGCTTTTCAGCCTCTCCAGGGTTGTCAACCCTAATTCCTCCCATCTTGGGACCATTATTTGGTTTATTTTGCTTATTTCTGCTGGTCCCTGGGCCTCAAATAGGCAGACTAACTCTGTGATACAACAGATAAATAATTTGGTAAAAAAAAAAAACAACCTATTCAGATACATTATCATAAGTTAGCTATGGAGGACCACGAGACTCAAGATGAGGTTGTTACTTTATACAGGGTGTTTCCAAAACCCATCTCCACCCAACCTAAAAGGGGGGACTTCTGCCCCTAGACCAAGCAGAGAGGGGCCACCCAGAACCCCTCTGACAGGCAATCTGAATTCTTGCTTAGGCTGCGAAGCTAAGCACTACAAAGGCATATAAATAAAAGATAAAAATATCTCTCTGGGTTCCCTGAGGGACAAGCCTGACTGCATAGGGGTTGATGTCAAAAGTATCCCCTCTCCAGGAAAAAGACATCGGGATGGCCCTCGTGCCTCACTGGACAATGACAGAGGGACTGGAGCCATTACAAGGTCCCCTTCAAGTACTTGAGGTCAGGCCTCTATCCCCGCCTTTGCAAGATTAGAATTGCCACAGCCCTTCTATACTTAGAGAAGGGAGGAGATGTCAGGAGCAGCCCTGCTTACACACTGAAGGTCTAAAATCATCCATAGACCTAAAGTCAGCAATAGGCCTGTCATACATGTATACTAACACCAAGTCTTGGGTCTCAGTGGAAAAACGTTGAAACAGATGGCTATAAGCTAATGTAAACAGGCAGCTTTTGTGGAAATTTACCAGCCAGAGTAGTCATAGACCTTGTAATAGGTAGCCTTGGCAGACAATACCAACTTAGATAAGGACAAGCGAGTCATAGGCAGAGTCATAGTGACTTGTCCCCTGAACCTTCACCCAGCTGATACCCAGTTCTTAAAGATATCTGTATTCTCCCTGAGCACCCACATTCCAGTGTCATTCCCTTCCCCACATCCAGCCTTTTTTGTGTTTATAACCCCAGTGTGAATGAATTATGATTTGAGAAAAATAAATCATAAAAAAAGAAAAAAGTAAGGTACTTACAAGAGCTGCAAATTGTCCAGATGAGAATTCGTTGTGGTACTGTGTCATGTTAAGGGGAGAAAAATAACATCTAGTCAATAAAAATACAATAACATGTTTATTCCAAACAAAGACATATTCTTTTGATGCCCATCACATTGAAAGTTTGGCTGTTTCTATAGTGTCTTTTTTTCTAACCTTGAGAAATGCCAATTACCAATCAGGGATTATATACACTTCCATTACCACCATGATATTCAACAAAACATTATCAGTGTAAACCTTCTCTCTCTCTCTCTCTCTCTCTCTCTCTCTCTCTCTCTCTCTCTCTCTTTCTCTTTCTCTCTCTCTTTCCCTTCTTTCTTCTCTTCCTTCTTTCTTGCCTCTTTGTATGTTTTACTTTATCTCTGTTACAAAAATATAGTTCAATGTAAAGCACATCTTTTACAGATGTACTGCAGTGTGCTAAATGAACCCGACCAACAGGATTTCATGATCCTGAATGAAGTGAGAGTTCTTCCCCAAGCACATTTTAAAAGTTTCTACCATAGTTATTTTTTAATTTTTTAAAAAAGTAGAGAAAATGTATTAATATCATTAGATTCTATGAAATTTCATGACACTGTCCAATTGGTCCTGTCCCTGTTTTTTTGGTTGGGGTATCTTTTATCCATGAAGGTGAATTTTCTGATGTTTCAATGACAATGTTTAGTGTGTCAGGTTCTAGTGCAGTTCAAGTATTAGTATGGTGGTTGAGGTACTTACAAACTCTACATAGAATTGGTTAGCCAGATTTTGGAGAGTTTCAGCTTTCTGAATGGCACTGTTAAATGTTTCCACAAGCGGGTCCCAGCAGCCGCCCTCTTTTGCCTGACATGCAGGAATTGATGCAGCTTTTTTCCACAGCAACAAGTTTGACAGCACCAGCAGCAGGAATACCCTTGCTACATAGAAAAAACCAAATCAGACATTGTTTATTAACCTGTGTTCTTCTAGGACTGGGAAATTTGAATCTGGCCCAAGTTTTTTTTTTAGATTTTGGAGTTTGTTTTTTTGTTTTGTTTTGGTTTCATTTGGTTTGGTTTGGTTTTTGTTGTTGTTTTTTTTTGGGAGGGGTGTTTGTTTAGTTTTTAAATTTTTTCCTGCATGACTGTATATTGGATATGTGGAATGGTACCTTAAAATGTCACTCTAAGTACTTAGACAAGTAATTGAATTTTTCTGAATAATAGTTGGAGGAGCGGGTTATTTCACATTATTTTTATTCTTTAAGAACTGCTTGTGAATTTTTACAAAGGTCTGAAATTAAAATTAGTTCTATTTTTGTACTTTAAGGCATTTGTAAAAGGTATACTATCTTTGGAATTTTAGCTCGTTTTTAGTTACCAAACTCTTGAAGAATATGCCATTTTTAATCATGTCTGATGTCAATGTTCTGGATACTTCTGGAAGAGGTATGGCTCAGTATACCTCTTTTCTTCCTCTGTACAATGGACAATAAGTACAATCACAATGATTACTAACAAGAAGATGAAAAGGTGTTGTTGAATATATGATATCAACTTAGAACTGTTACGATGATAAAAACAACAGATATTTTTTTCATCAAAAACTTCAGATCATTCTCTTTTGAGTTGATATGCCCTATAATTTTGTCTGAAGATTAAACTCTCTTAATGCAATCTGAACATATTCAAATTGGAGAAGGACTACATGTTCAAATTGTTTATCTAATGATTCTCTAGTGGTTAAGGTAGAAGTCAGAATACCAACTGTCAATACTTTTTACTCGCCATTATGTTTCTTCTGCCTTGAGATAAGATTAAATTGATCCATTGAATTTACATCCTCAATATTTTCCAATTTCTAAAACTCCAAAACATTGCCCATTTGAGATGTGTTATTCTTTGTTCTGGAAATTGTCCGATGCATTGGAAGCTGCTTAATAATTCCCATCAGTTCTAATCATTGAATAAAAGAAACACAATTCTCCTTCTCTCTCCTCAAGAGAGAAGACAACATAGAATATCTTTGAACACTGCAATGTGTCTCAAGTTAAAGGATGATGAAAACTACTAATCCAATTTTCCCTTGTACCCTTGTATAGTTTCTTTAAAAAAAATTAAAAGATAATATAAAATCTATGCAGAATTCTACACCTGCTAATCTATGAACAAATTATCTCCTCACACTAGATGGAACATCAGAGATTCCAAAGAAAGAACCTCATTAAAATAAAGTCATAGAACCACTGAACTAAATACTTTTACTAAGACATGAATAGGGGCAAGGGAATTTACTTACAGAAGTGAAGTTGACTCAATAGCAGCTCCATCACTGAGGAGTTCCTAAACAGGATAAGTTCTGTCTCTGGAGATCCCGTTCACTGAAGTTTTACATTCAGTTAGTTTCCTGACCCTATATATTCTAGCAGATAACCCCAAGGACATACACAGCCACGAGACACCATGAAGTCACATACAGAAACACTCATTGATGAAACCTTTCTATCTTCAAGGAATATTAACTGTCTTATTACAACATACTTATATGTGTCTGGATGGTTTCTTTTAATGTGTTCCTACATGTTGATTCTTGTGTAAATTATTTTTGAAATCTCTGAAGCCATTCTAAGCTGCCTGATTAAAGATGATCATGTCAGACCATTAGAAAATCATTGTTCATGATTACTTCCCCTTCCTTTGAATGTTACATTCTTTGTTTTATCTTTTTTCCTTATCTTTATTGACAGAGAATGATTCTTCATTGAATTATTTGATCATCATACAACAGCATTAGTAAATTATGTATACTGTTATGAATCATTGCCAGTAATCACTGGATACTCTGAAGAATGTATCTCTGTAAACTATCCTGACAATTATAGTAATCTATAATAATATAATGCTTAACTTAGGTATTTATAAGTCAGTCTAAAATAAATCATGTATTTTTTAACACAAAAACTCCATTAACTTCTTTCTAGACAATATAACCTCTCAAAAATTACTGGGCATTCTTTTGAAATAGCAAATATAGGTTATTTTCTTTCAACTGCTGTTAATCATTTCAGAAGTATATTAGCTGCACCAGTAACAATTGCACCATGATTGTACTAATGAGTATATTTTTATAAACTTACTGCTAGTATTAACACTTGTGCTATAGTATCACTGGTGAAGTTCTTCAAAAGCCAATGCCATAGTGGCTTCCAGACTCTGAGATCTAATAATTATTGAGAGATCTTCTAACTGAATGCCTACAAAGTATCCTCATAGTGTTGAAAGAAAGTAATTGCTGCTTAAAAATATACACAAATCAGTTAAGATTCATATTCATACAAAAGGATATATAGCTACAAGTATGTCATGAGGGATTTCAGAGCCTAGCTCTGCAGTATCTCATGGGAAGTTAACTCTTTTCTCCAGGACTACCACATCTTAGCGATTTAATTCAATAAATATACTGTTCTCAGAGAATTCTTTTTTCAATATATATATATATATATATATATATATATATATATATATACTTTTCATTTCCTTTTTTGTTAAATTATGTTATTTATTTACATTCCAAATGCTACCCCCATTCACATTTCCCTGTCCTGGAGTTCATAATTCCATCCTCCTTTCTCCCCTTTGCTTCTGAGAGGGTGTTTCACCACACACCCTACCCACCCACCCACACACACACATCATCCAAACCATCATCAAAATTCTCTAGAGCTTCAAGTTTCTTCAGGTTTAGGCAAATCCTCTTCCACTCAGCCCAAACAAGGCCATCATCTGGTACATATGTGCCAGGGGCCATGGATGCTCTTTGGTTGTTGGCTTAGACTCTGGGAGGTCATAGGAGTCCAGGTTAGTTGATACTATTATTCTTCCTTTGGAATTGACATCTACTTTTGTTCCTTCAATCCTTCCCCTAACTCTTCCGAAGGGGTCCGTGACCTCACTCCAATAGTTGGATGTAAGTATTGGCATGTGTCTCAGTCAGATGCTGGTAGAGCGTTTCAGAGGACAGCAATGTGTTATTGTCTGTGAGCACAACATGGCATCAGTAATGGTGTCATGGTTTGGTGCCTGTACATAGAATTGTTCCCAAGTTAGGTCAGTCATTGAATGACCTTTCTTTTACACTCTTGATTATTTTTGTCCTTGCATTTCCTTTAGACAGGAACAATTCTACATTAAATATTTTGAAGATGAGTGGATGGCTCCATGCTTTAACTGAGTGCCTATTTGTACACTGGAGATGGTCCCTTTAGGTTCCATCTCCCCACTCTTGGGCATTTCAGCTAAGGTCACTCCCACTGAATTCTGGAAGTCTCTCACATCCCAGGTCTTTGGTATTGGTATATATTATTTTGTTCCTCTGCCCCCCACTTACTATCACTGAATATTTCCATTCATTCTCCTATCCCTCACTGGTCTTCTCTCTTTTCTTCCCCTCCCCACCCTCCTATTTGTTTCTGCTTACTTTTTTGTCTTGCCTTCTCTCTCCTACCCAGGTTCCTCTCTCCCTCTGCCTTCTGTGATTGTTTTGTCCTCCTAAGTGGGGCTGATAAATCCACACTTGTCCCTTCTTTCTTGGTAAGCTTCATATTGCCTGTGAGTTGTATCATGGATATTCTGTCCTTTTGGTTAATATGCACTTATCAGGGAGTATATATCTTGCATATCTTTTAGGGTAGGGATTATCTTATAGAGGTTAAAAACACTGACTGATTTTCCAGAAGTCCTGAGCTCAATTCCTAGCAATCACATGGTTACTTACAACCATTTGTAATGTTATCTGATGCCATCTCCTGGTGTATCTCAAGACAGACAATATAATCACATATATAGTCCAAACTTGCAGATTCTTTAAGAGCAGAACTTAGTATCCTTTTAGTTTCAATGAATACATACATAGAGGTTGTATTTATAAAATGGAAGCTGAGAAGTTCAGCACTTTTGTAGACCTACTGTTACCTGTTTCAATGCACCATAAATTCACTTGATGATTCTGCATCCACTTGGACATTAGTCACAGACTACAAAGGTGTTAGACAACATGAACAAGCCTCGAGGTTATATGATTTGTTTCTTCCAAAGCATAAGACTGTGTAGAGTAGCACGGATGGGATCATTACTTCTTTTGCAAGTTTATAATCTAAACAGAAACCTCTGTACTGTTTAGCTTGCATCACTTTAGACTGACATATGATCAGTAAGAGGTGGCATTTTGCTAAGAGCCGAAAAGGAGCAGGGCCCGTTCAGATCTGCCAAATCTGTTGTTCCTTCAGAAGTCTTCCAATTTTCAATAGTCTTGGACTTATGCTCTCTGGCTCTTTGTCTATCCGGAGTGTTTTAGGAAAGGACATTTTCCTGCATTAGTAGTCTCTTCCCTACATACTCTCCTATTCTCAACAACACAAGTTCATCATAATTTTAATAACATCAATTAAAACGTTACAAGCATGATATGCAGCCTACATCCCTTCTTCACATCCACATCCAAGATTCCTATCTACATTAGACAATTGTATACAGAATTCTCTATGAGAGACAGTTAAGTGTATACCCCTGAGGCAACTTGTGTCATTTTTATATTCTATCATCTCATTATTGCACTGATGGATTTCCCCCTAGTGATTTTCAATAGCTATGAATTCTAGTCTACTTGACAAACTGATGTCTAAAATTTCCTGAAGATTCCCATAAGGTGTCCTTGGGTCCTCTGTAATGTAAAGGCAGGAAGACAAAGTTGGTCAATCTGTTGATTTTAAAATATCTACTATCCCTTTAAGACATCGCTTTCCTGAAGCAGGGAAATAAGTGGAAAGCACTGTCGCCTCTTCTACTCCATGGAGAACTGTTATTCAGTTTACAGCCTTTCTGCTGCTCTTATGTACCATGGCTTTGATCTGCTGAACATTTCTGTTGGAGGTCCATAGTGGTCACAGGGAAAATCTTGAAACATTTCACTTCCAATGAACTCAGTTCTCATATATTTCTTGTGTGTTTGTGTATGTGTGTGTGTGTGTGTATGTGTGTGCATGTCTATGTCTGTGTGTGTTTATTGTATTAGCACTTTTCAAGGACGTTTAAGTCATGTTCCAGTAAATTCTTTTCTAGATAGCCCCATCTACTTCAAGTGTAATTTTATGATGAATTATGACTTGTGAGAAGATAATAAACAAACTTGTAGTCAAAGTTTTGGAGACCACACTGTCAATTCTTCTATCAAAGTAAATATGTTTTTTAGAAATGCAGATGTTAAGATTGAAACTACCTGATAAAAAGTCAAAGGGCTTACTCTTGATGTGCCTAAAGTGGTGTCTTCTACTTGAATCTTACCTTAGTCAAATTGAAGATTCTTTCATCAAAGTTACCTGGCTACAATGCTCGGTGGAAAGTTGGATACTCTTCTCAAACTTTTGTCTTCTGAAAGTCTCTTATATGTTTGGACTCTTATTTCTTTTCTTAGATCTGAGTATTATTTTTAAGATATGTAGTTCTGTTCTAGATTTTGTAAACTTTACAATGTACCTATTACAAACATATTTACTTGTGCCAGTGCCCTTTCTCTGTCAATTTCTCTCCCTCTCTAACAAAGTTGTACAATTTACCCTAACATTAAAAAAACACAAATAATGTATTAGTTATAATATAATTACATATAATAATTATATGTAATATAATTATTATATATAGTTATAATAATAAGGTCTTAGTTAGTTACATGTGATCTTTTCTCAAAGAGGCTGAATGTAAATATTCATTATTTTTACTGAGGCTGCCTACCACATTTATATGGATAATATGCATTTTAAAATGGAAAATCGAAGTGATTGAAGAATAGTTTGCTAAAATAAAGAGAACATATTATATAAAAAACTGATTTTTCTAATAAGAAGGCCACTTGATCACATTTTATTTGTCATTACAATTCTGTCACATGCTTTCGAGGTGAAGTCTTTTCTGATAGATTGTTTGCTTTTTTCACAGGAATCAAGTTTGTACTGGCTCTCATTAGGTACTCAGAGAACCTGACCCATTTAAACTGCATGATAATATTACCAGTTGCAAATAAATAAAATCATTTTTCTTAAAGAATAACATGTACAAATAAGTACTAATAATTTACTTTGATTTTTAGATTTTAGATTTTTTTAAAATATTTTAAACATTTTTAAAAGACAATGGAAACAAAATGAATTCATTAATGTAATTTCTTGATTTCTACATGACCTTTTCCCCTTAGGCTCTAGCAAAGCAGTCCATTTCTTGTCATGTACATCTGAAGACCAATGACACAATTTACCTTTCATAACAATGTCAGTGAAAC